CGCACGTAGACATGTATCAACATGGGCGTGGGGCACCCATGGGTAGGTCAAGCAACACACGAGATAGGACGTGTGCAAACAGGCAAAGGGAGCAACAAGTTGTTGAGTACATGCATAAGGCAGACAGCAGTGTGCGTGGGGTGCATGTGGACATGCAATAGTTTGATGGGATGCTCAGATAAGGCTGCATGTTTGCTGGACAAAGGCTGTGGGATGATTTTATTTGTCTAGATAGACTTGCATGTAAGCAAACTGCTTGGTAACTGCTAGATAGGGTTGTAACTGTTGTTGTAACCACTATGTAACTATTATGCCAACATGTATATAAGGCAAGCAGGTTGTATAATTCGAGAAAGAGAGAGAGAGAGAGGGAAAGAGAGGGCAATGAATATGTGAGTGTATTCCTTTATTGTAACTTGGGTGCTTAATCTGTGATTGGGATCAGATTATAATCAGTGGGAAACATTGTGAGGGTGCTTAAGTTCCTCGTATTCGGAATCTATAATATAAGGTTGGGTTTTCCCATATATTTTGTGTATTACAATTTCATTAGCCTCTCTTGTGTATTATGTTTGTAATTTGTAGCAGGGATACGCACACTTGAGGAAGGCTGACAAGTGCTTGGTGTGCTTGTGCCGAATAGTGCTTAGAAGGGAGTTTAGGTATATATATAAGGTGGGGCAAGACCGATCCCATCCCCGTCCCATCCCTGAATTCGGGGACCAATTTTCAGCCCGAGCCCGACCCAAATCTCATATAATTCAGGAAAACTCCACCCCATTTGGGTCGAGATGGGTCCTCGCGGGGACGGCTATTATGCCCATCCCTAGTACCCAGTAACCAAACGAAAAATTCAGTTTGGTTCAATGTCGGGTAATTTCCAAACTGGTTTGAATACCGGGCACCCTTAGAGCCTGACCCAAATATTCGGTTCAGGTCAACCAAATGCAAAACCGATTCAGGTACCTAGTTTTGAACACCCTTATATAATGTCCCTTCTAACCTTTACCTCAACCCAACTTTTCATATTAGGCCAAGGGTAGGATTTCCTTGAGAGTGAAATGTAATACTCGTCCCAACCTCTTACACAAAAATCCCATAATTTTTTTCTTAAATAGAATAATAATTATAATTACTCATATGTATTTAATATATTATATATTTTTATTAAGACGAGGGAGGGGTTTTCGTGGGTTTTAACCTTTACTTGCCGCCCTCCACCCCATCTTCATTTCCAATGCATATATATATATTTTTTTTTTTGCCGCCAACCCAAAATTCAGAAGGGATTCTTTTCCCAAAAATAATGTTACGAACACCGAATTTTTGTACCGAAGGACATGGCATCTAGTCAGATACGATCACGTTAAAGACAAAACACGTCTTCTATGAATGAACGGTCATCCAACAGTTATGAACGCTCATCCATATTTTATGGATGACCGTTTATCACGAATGAACGAGCGTCCACAAAAATATCAATGGACTCCCGTCCATATTATATGGACGGGCGCCTACCTGATATGAATGCCGATCCCTAAAATTATAAAAACAAAATAATTGATGCTCATCCATCTTATATGGATGGTCGTCTGTCTATATACAATGGACGGCCGTCCGTATAAGATGGACGGGTATCCATACGCATAGCCTTATAAAAATGGTTGAAATGTATACATATGAACAATAACAAAATCCTTGGACATGCATGAATGTTATACTTCTATGTGTTTGATTATATCTCTGAGATGCAGCATTTGTCATATCAATGGACAATAAATGAAAAAAATCATGCATCAAAAGCATACTATTTGATGAACCAATTAATAATTCGTCTAACTAAAGTGCAAAATATTTTTATTGAAAAAATTGTGAGTAGGAAATCAAAGGTAAAACATTATTTTGTTTTTATAATTTTATGGACGGACGTCCATTATTTTATTTTTATAATTTTATAAACGGGCGTTCGTATGAGGTGGACGTCTGTCCATGTAAAATGAATGAGAGTCCATTGATATTTTTGTGAATGCTCGTCCATAAAATATGGACGGATGTTCATAATTGTTGGACATTTGTTCATTCATGAAAGATATATTTTGTTTCCAACGTGACCACGTCTGACTAGATGCCACGTTATTTGGTACATAAATATTGGTGTAAAATTTCAATACAAAAATTCGGTGTTCATAACATTATTGTTTCCCAAATAACAATTTTTTTTACACCTAATCTTATTGAGTTTTTATGCTATCCCTATATATATAAATCCTTATCCATTCACGAAATCACTAATTATAGTAGCATAATATAAAATTGTCCTATGCTATTTTTTTTTTTTTAAATCGATAATACTAAATATGGATTATTTTTATAATATTAAACATCACACTTATAATAGACGACATTACAACTATAATATTCTTACTTCAGCGCACCAATTTTAGTATCTTGTTGAATCGTTAAACACAAAATATTATTGGTAGAAATATCACAATTTTGGATAAAAATTTTGTCAACATCCAACCTAATATCTTAAAGAAAACTGATAATTTGGACTAATTTAGAAAGATAAGGTGGCTAATCGGCTCACTCAAAGAACTTTATTTTTATATATAAATAAAAGGCCGAATGACATGCATCCACCTATAGTTTGCTATAAAGACAATTTGATACCCAAAAAGTTTGAAAACCTCAATTACCTACCTTCCGTCCAAATCTGCTAGTAAAGTTCGTTTAAAGAAGGACAATATGGTAATTTTATATCCAACAAAAAAAATATAACATTCTGCATTAGTCTCGTGTCCATTTTCTCTCTTTAATATTAATTTTATAAAAATCTTCCTTCTCAATTTTAATTATTTTATTTTTATAATTAATTTTAATTAAAATTCCGTCTTCGTCTCTCGCCAGAACCGCAATCACTAGAACCAGGACAACAACCAGCAAAAATGACCAAAGCCCCAAAAAAACCTCACTCAGATCACCAAAAGATTCAATGCAAAAAATCCCGAAGAACCACTCTCAAACACTCAAAAGAACCAAAACACGCAAGGCATAGAAGGGTTGGAGCAAAACCTCAAACAAGTGGTGTGCCAAAAATTGGAAAATCAATCATCAATGCCAAAACCGATCAGAAATCCCCAAAAATAAAACAAAAACACAAAAAAACACTCACAATTAATCTCCAACCATCAATTTCCCATTGGAAACTTCAAAAAACACCAATCAATCCCAATTCAACAAACAACAAAAACCCTAGGAATTCAATCGACGATGAAATGTGAGCAAGCGACGACGGGAAAAATGGGAGTTTTGGAAAGGGCACACCGAAAAGACGATTGGCGAGGAGAGGAAAGGTTTTGGTGACGGGGCTTTTGGAAAATGGGTGGGGAAGTGCGACATCTTTGCAAAAGACCCCCCTTTTTTGGCCCTTTTATGACAGAGATGAAGAAGATGAAGACGGGAAGAGAGAGAAAAGAGAGGCTTTCGATCTGGCCAGCTTCTAGTCCATATTTCGGTGCCAGGTTCTTGCCTAGTGATCGGAGGAAAAAGAGGGAGAAGAAAGAGAAGGGAGAGAATAAGAGAAAGAGAAAGGGGAGAAGAAGAAGAAAGATAAGAGATTTGGACGGATTTTTCTAATGTCTTATTAATGCAATTTTTTTTTAACTTTTTTTATGCACAAACCCTAAAACATAAAAAGCCAAAATTACCCTACAAAAATGATAGAATGATAATACTATTTTAGTTAACAGATTTATTAACGGATTTGAATGAAAAGTGAGTATTTGTCATTTTAAAACTTTTTAGGTACCAATTTTTCTTTACAGCAAACTCTAAGTAGGTGTATGTCTTTTCCCTTAAATAAAACAAGCAATACTCCACTCACCGAACCTCGTCATAATTAATATAATGTCGTAATTTAATACTCTAATCATGATTTGATTAAACAAATGACTTTATGACAATTCATAATCCACACGAAAACGTTGCGTGTAGAATCCCCAAAGCAAACCCCCATTGGGCCCACGGACGGCCCACAGTCCTCAACGGATAACCAAAAAAATTAAAAAATTTCTAAAATTTCATTGGCTGGAACCACAGTAATCAACTAGAGGTAGGACCCACTAATATCTCCTCGGCTTTATCTGATTTGTAGGATAAATATCACTTAAATCCCCAAACTTTATCGTGATATCAATTTTATCCTTGTCAAGTATATAGCTATGTTTGTGTGTAAGTAATCAATTCTCTAATCAAGATGTTCTTATATAAATTTATCAAGACTACATAGGTACTATTAATTTGGATTGTAAAATATTATTTTAATCTAATGTAATCAATTCAACAATGAATATGTATGGTCTTGACTAAATTTATATCAAGATATCCTAATTAGAAAATGACCATACATAAATACATACATACATACATACATACCATTAATTTGGATTGTAAAATATTATTTTAGTCTAATGTAATTAATTCAACAATAAATATATATGTTCTTGACTAAATTTATATCAAAATGTCTTGACTAAAAAATGACCATATATATATATATATATATATATATATTGTTAGTTTAATTGTGGTTTTGGGTGGTGATGATAGGATGTCACGCAAAAGAAAAAAATGAACTTTTTTACATTAGATTAATTGATTGTATATATATCCATGTACATCATACATAAGAAGTTCTCTTGGTAAAACAAATACTTGTTAATTGAGTTTAACAACTAATTTCCACCCTCCTAGATGGGCACCGGCCGGCATCTATCAAATAGAGTTGTCCTCAATTGAAAATTGCAATTAATAGAAGGTATTTTGAGCGTTTTCAAAATTATAAAACGACAAATTAATATGGCAATCAATAGGGGTGTAAATGTATTTATCCACACAATATACCGAACTCCGAACCAACCTCCCTCGCTGACTCAAACGAAGACGTGGCAGTCGTCCGTTGGTCCGGACTCTAGTTCGGGTCGCAGCCACTTTTGCACTTCTTGTTACTCTTTTACATTCTCTCCTTCTCAAAGCTTCACTCTCAAACAATCTGTCTCCCTCTTATGTCACTGTTAAGCCTTTGATATTTATCTCTCTCGATCAAAAATCTAGATTAATCATGATGATGAGGTATTCTTTACTTTGTTCTGTTTTGTTGTTTAGTCGTTTTCGTGTTTTCATCTGATTCTGTTTGTTTCCGGGGAAGAAAATGAAATGATTGCTGGAAAACTTTTCCGGTGAAAAGAAAATTCTGATTTATATGATTTTTTGGTTGCTATTGTATGTTAATATACGTTTGTGAATATCGCCGAGTTCATATCCATCTCTGTAGCTGAGGAAAGGAATGATTTTTACGTTTCTGTATATATATTTTGATTCTCTGTTTTTCTTTATGCTTCCGTATGTGTTGTTTTAGAGAATAATTTTCGTGAAACTATTTTCTCGGAATCTGTATTTTGACTCGACGATCGTGGCTTTACTCTGTTTTTAATTATTTTTATTTGGTGAATTCTCTGTTTTATTTTCTAAATTTGTGTTTGGCTATATTTTGTGTTGCGACTTGCGAGTAAGCGGAACTGAAAACTATTCGTGAAACTGAAGTTGAAGTATGCCATGTTTGGTTGGTAAGAAATGCAAGTTTCTTACCAACCAAAGTTCAATAATATTCGGCTTATCAAAATCCAGTGTTTCTAATTTCAAGTTTGAACCTGACATATTGGTTTGGTTTAGCTCAGATAATTTTTGTCAAGTCATGCGTGTATTTTAGGGCTCAAATTGTTGATTTTGTTTATAGTACGCGTGAGACTAATAATGTAAATTTCGTATTTTCTTTCTTGAGATACCTGAAATATATCTTAATTGTGAATTGTAACCCATTTTATTTCTAGATATTAAAAAAAAAAAAATCAGTTAATGGCTAGGACTTTGATTGCTTTAAGTATTGTATTAGTGTTTTATATATTTATTTTTTATTTAGCTGTATTGAGGAACTTTTTATATCAATATACAGCTTGGTGGCACCACACCTCCACAACAGTTACAACATAACTATAACCCAACCACCACCGTGATGACCACTTTTACTGCATAACTACCTTTACATCTATTTGCACCTTCAGCAAGATTACCACAACTGCAGTCATTACCATCACTGTTTTGACTATATCAGACAATCATTACCGCACCATCCTGAAAGAGAAAATTGAATTAACTCTATGTCTAAGTTTGAACCCCTTGCCTACAAGCCTAGAAAACGAGCTCACGACAAATAATCAAGCACAAAAGGTGTTTTCTCTCATTTCTTAAGTTGTGTGAAATATGTGTATAAAACAAATTATTCGAGCAGTTGTATCATATGGATATATTTTCTAACAGAAAGCATATTATTACAAACAATTTTAGAAGAGCATATCATCACAAACATGATAAGCACCATTTTAATTTGGCTGGGAAAATCTGCGTCATGATTTTTTGACTGACATTCTGTCTGTTAAATTTATAGTTCTAGCATGATGATCACAAGCTCAATTCTAATTGGATGCCGATTGAAAAGGTGTTTTCTTAATGATTGTGTGGGCTGAATACTTATTTTGCTATCACTCTTTCTTGTTTTACAGGGTGAAGTAGAGTGCATGGTTACTTTTTGGTAATTGAATGGGTTAAAGTAGTGTTCTGCTGCAATTTTTATGACATATATTGATCACAAGATATTTCCTTAATGGGAGGAGCTTGTTCTAGGAAGAGAGGCCAATTGGATCATGAAGATAGGTTAAATAGAGGGGTTTGTGGAAGATATCATAAAAGTGGAAGTTCCAAGTGGTTGATGACCTCATTTTTTAGGCCTCCGCTGGAAATCCAACGAGGACAAGGGAAATGCCCGTCCCTTATGGAGTTGTGTGCTCATAAAATTCGTGAGGTATTCTGTTTTCATATCATGCCTGGTAGAAGGCCTCAACAGTTTTTTTCGGTGACTGATCTTTGATCTGCTTACCTAACAGGACATAGATAGATATAATACCTTTTCAATGCTCCCAAGGGATATCAGTCAGCAAATCTTCAATGAACTGGTAAATTCCCAACGTCTAACTGATATTTCTCTAGAAGCTTTTCGAGACTGTGCTCTCCAGGTAATTCCTAGCATGATACTTTTACTTGTGGTGTTAAAATTATTGTGATGGTTGTGCCATTGCCCCTAATGGGCATGCTGATCTGCAAAGTTTTCGTGACAGGACCTTTACCTGGGAGAGTACCCTGGTGTAAATGACAAGTGGATGGATGTCATTGCTTCTCAGGGCTCATCTTTACTTTGTGTGGATCTTTCTGGTTCTGATGTCTCTAATTCTGGGTTGATTAATCTCAAAGATTGCACAAACCTGCAATCCTTAAATTTTAATGACTGTAACCAGATTTCAGATTGTGGGCTTGGGCACATCTCTGGTACCTTTTCTACATATTTTCAGTTACTGTGTTGATAAGGGTGAATACTCTGAATTTCAAAAGATTGTGGTAGAAATGAGTTATGATCTCCCTTTGCATGTGTTACACTGGTATAAACTATTTTATCAATCTAAACTGGGAAGGGGATTGGGTAATTTTTATATAGATAGTTCTCTTTTTCACTGGGGAGGGGTTTGTATGAACTGTGGGTTATAGACAGGTATTTTTAGGCTGTCTTTGTATAAGGTTGATGCTCCTTAGGATGTTGTCTTCAATGTGGTCTGCTGGTTCTTAGTTCTACCTTCTTTGAATTATTATTAATACAGTTTCTTTAGTTTCCCACTAAAAGAATGACAATCTCTATTTTGGAATATCATTTGTGTGCCTTTCCTTTCTTACCATTCTGTTCCATCATCTTCCTTCATTCAAGAGATTTAGCTCTGCTCACTTTATACTTGAGCACCTTTTTCACAGGTTGTTTTACCATGTGAAAATCTTTCAGATCTCTCAAACCTTACAAGTTTGAGTTTTAGAAGAAACAATGCAATTACTGCTCAAGGGATGAGTGCCTTTGCTGGGTTGATTAACTTATCGAAGTTGGATCTGGAAAGATGTATTGGAATTCATGGCGGTCTTGGTCATCTTAAAGGTATGTTTACCTCTAAACCTTCCAACCCTCTCTCTTGTCCAAGGCAGAGGTATTGATTTGGTTTTCTGTGGGAGGGTAAATTGTTTGAAATTTCTTTTTTCATTAATAGAAGTAGTGCATATGTTTGAAGCAAGAAATATAATTGGAAAAGAAAAATGATAAGCGGTAAGCTTAGCCTTTCTCTATAAATATATTTTTTGGAAACAAAAGATTTGTGTTACTGCAGAGGAAGAGATAAAAGTGGGTTTCAATATCCACCATAGCGAAAAACAAAAAGCCTCTTAAGTTTAAACACATAGCAACAAACATTGATGGAGTTATCAAAGAGTTGCTCACTTTTCATGAAGGCATAAACTGGCTAATGTGTACCATATTTATCGTTTTGCAGGTCTGACAAAGCTGGAGTCTCTTAATATTAAATGGTGTAATTGCATCACGGATTCTGATATGAAGCCTCTCTCAGGTGACTCTTACCCATCCTTCTCCTTCTGGGATGGTTTTATTATTTACCTTTTCACACGATTCTCTTATATTTTCTCACTCTAACCATGGATTTCATTTTTTATATAGTTCTTCATGTCTGTTTAGAAGTTTAGTTAAGAGGTGTTGAAGGATGTGCATTGGATCAGTTTTATCGAGATTTGGTATGAGTTTGAATGTTGTAAAGATGTAGGGTAACTTTTGTGCCATTTCTTTTCAGGGCTTAGAAACTTGAAAAGTCTACAAATTTCCTGCAGCAAGGTTACTGATGTCGGCATTACTTACTTGAAAGGTACTGTTTTTTTTATCTATATCATGTTGTCATGTCTTACAATTTTACATGTTGAATAATATCTTAGCCACATGGACCACAATTCCACTTTGCCATGGTGCATGGGGGAGGTTTTGTTCATGTTTCTCATATGATTTTGGAATGTTAATCATAATTGGGCTACATTACGGAATGGACCAAAACAAATCAGAAAACTGCTTTGATTGGGTCTTTAAGGTTATGCTAGTAATTTATTTTTTAGAAAATGTATAACACTATATTAACTCATGAATGGAATTGTTTTAGAAGGATTTAATGATTAACCTTTCTTGGGGACAGCATTAATAAGATTCCCAGAACCCATCTACATAGATAGCATAGAAATTGGGAAGAAGCTGTGATGTATGACAATATTTGTAACTTGTGTAAAGTTGCTTACAACTTGTTAAACATTGGATCAAGAAAATTTTTAGGTCTATAACTGTTTCCAGTAGCTTGAATGGTTAAATCATGATGGACGTTATTTGTAAATTGTTAAATTATGGCACACAATCTTAGGATAGCAGCTAATGGATATAACAGAACTGATTATGAAAATCAATTCAAAGCTGGAATAGAATACACTAGGACAACATGTGTTAGGAAGATATTCTGAGAATTTGATTTGTGAACAGTAACTTCTGGGGTAGAAAAAGATAGAAAGACCAAGTTTTTGATGCTGTGACTAGTACTCATGAGAGAACTTAACAGACAAAACTTAGTTTTCATTAAAACTAACTCTCTTTTTCTCATGATTTTAAGGTAGGATCAATTGGGATTTGCTCACAATTTAGGAAGTGACAATCAGTATGCTGTGACCAATAGACGTAACTAAAGACTGATGATGGCCATGTACGAGTTTTAAAATTACCTAAGGTTAATGAAATAATTTTAATTAATAAAAAATAGACAGAGAAAAATAAAAAATAAAAATTGGAGCCTATGCTGATATCTCAAACTACTACAATTATAACTATATTTGTGAATTTCATACGCCATCCATGATATCTGAGTGTCATTTTAACGTTACATTTTTTCTTGTATGTGTTTCAACCATATGTCCCTACTTCCTGATGAGTAATTCTTCCATAGGTTTTTAATAATTACCCATTTTTTCTAGAATTTTTTACTAGTCTTGTTTGACTTGGTAATTCAAACTTCTTTTTGTTGACACTGGAGATCGTTGTTGTGTTTCAGGTCTGCAAAAGCTTTCTCTATTGAATTTGGAAGGCTGCCCAGTGACGGCTGCATGCTTAGACTCTCTTTCAGGTTGAAGCCTCTTGGTGTTTCCATTTTCTACTGATCTTCTAATTTCTTTTTGAATGGTTTGCCAGCTTGCAATTAACAACTCATTTATCTATTTAGAAAACTTAGATATCCGATATGTTGCAAGTCAAGGGAATGTATATTGGAGAAATAATCCCTTGACTTGACATGTGATCTAAGTTAACTATTTAGTAAAAGTTTAGAATGAGCTGCTTAAAGTTGCATATACTCAATAGCTTGATTAAGTGTGGATTTAGCCTAAATATTCTCTTTTCCTGTATCTATGCAGCTCTTGGGGACCTGCTGTATTTGAATCTTAATAGATGTCATCTGTCTGATGATGGATGTGAGAAATTTTCCAGTAAGTCGTCTTCAATTAATTGCACCTCTTGGCATCATGAGATTTACTGCAAATTAGCTAAGATGATGAGATGTTTTGGTTGTTTTTTGTCAGAACTTTGAATTTAACCTTGACCTAATCAAATCCTTATTTTCTGCAGGGCTTGGGAGTTTGAAAGTATTAAACTTGGGATTCAATGACATAACAGATGCATGTTTGGTGCACTTGAAAGGTGAGTGCTCTGTTTTGTTTACTGTGTGTTCAACAGTCTAATTTATTCATTTTACATTATTTTTGTTCCTGCAAATGTCATAGAATGTTAAAAAAATAAAAATAAATAAAAAATAAAAGGCACCACTGATGATCCTTTTATCATATAATGAAGGAAAAAATAACCTTTTCCTGTCTAACAAGGGAACACAGGAAGTTCTGTGCTTCACTTAGTACTTGTGCTTTGCTGTATTTTTATCTGAAAGTTTAGTTAGTCAATCTTGTACTATACTTTCCTTTGTTTATCAAATTTATTAACGCTTCAGGAGAGGAAAGAAGTCATTAGTTTTAAGACTGTAATGCAATATGGACTTGTTAAAATAATTATTATATCTCATTAACAATATCTTTCCTTCAGTTTCTTTGTATATTTAGCTTTGTTGGATTGCTCTGGATTGTACAAGCAATATTTTCTAATAAATAAATAAGCAAGAAAAGGGAGAAGAAGAAAACAGAAGAAAACTTTTTTTTTTTTAAATGTATTTGGACTGTATGCTTCTTAATTTTGCTTTGAAACAGGATTGACAAAATTGGAGAGCTTGAACTTGGATTCCTGTGGAATTGGTGATGACGGACTAGTTAATTTGACAGGTGACTACTTTAACAGTTTCCCAGTTATCACCTTTATTTATCTTAGTCGTCCTTTCTTTATACCAATTTGTATGAGAAAAATCTAAACTATTTTTTATTAATTTCTTAAGCCAATATTCCTCGTAGTATTGATTATTAAACTAATCTTTTGGGGAAGTAACATTCCAATGTGTTTACTGAAGTATGTAGGGTCTAGGAATTTATTGAATTTCCTGGTAAGCTGTTACCATTCTCTTGAATGTCCTGCTGGTTGATACCCAATTTAATAATTCTGTACGACATATTTTGCATAAGAATCTCATTGCAATTAATATATAGAAAAGAAACCAATTAATGGTAATTTTTGAAAATTTATTGCTGCATTATTTAAGGTTGAGGTTAAACAGTAATTTGTATAGCCCTTCTTGGCTTATTTTATATATTTACTGAACATTTCATGATAATTCTCTTTTCCTTACTTTTGCTTCTCTTTTTACTTCTTTTTAACCCTTATATATCCCTCACGCTTCTTGAGACGCTAATGTTCTAGGCCTTTATCATTTAAAATGTTTGGAGTTGTCTGACACGCAAGTTGGAAGCAGTGGTCTCCGCCATCTCTCTGGTTAGACATCCATCTTCAACTCATGATATAACAATTTGTATACAGAAAAAAAAAAGAACGAATTTAAGCATAGTCAATTTTCTATAGGTTAATATTATATTTGTTGTATTTGCCAGATTACTCACTCTTTTAATCTTAATATAAACTCAGTGCTCACATACTTATGATCCTTTCCTAATCTGCTTTTAAGTGCACAATTTGCCAAGTAATTTCAGTGAAGTTATTAGAGTAATTTTGTACTTCACTTGCTCCTGCTGAAGTTAGAAGTAACATGTTATTTGTTGTGAGAGGTCAGCAAGCAATTTTAGAACAAAGTCCTGTCTATTGTCAAAATTTGTAGTGGCTAAATGAATATATAAAACCCTGAGGAGGTTGTTAAATTCTCTCATTATTGAACTTGGTTATCATTGAGTCAACAAATGAAGTCTGTAATAAAGGTTGTGGAATTAAATTTTATGTGTTGACCTGACTTTATTTGTTTATTGTTTGTAGGTTTGGCTAGTCTGGAGAGTATAAATCTTTCATTCACTGTAGTTACAGATGGTGGATTAAGAAGATTGTCTGGATTGTCATCTCTTAAATCACTTAATCTTGATAATCGGCAAATTACAGATACTGGGCTTGCAGCTCTTACAAGTAAGTGCCTTTAAATGAATGGTGCCCCTTCCCCTTTTCATTATTCCTATTTTTTCTTTTCTTTTCCTTTTAAGTGTTCTCATTTCATGAAATGATTTGTATATCCTTAATATTTTAGACAAACTCTGGCGTAATTAAGTTAACTAGTCTGGTTCTGAAGTAGCTAAGAAATACATTTTGTGTATTTAAGTTAATAGGTGTAAAGAATTTATGGCATGTCCATTTTTTAAATGCTTTCAACTTATTCCATTTTTCTGCATTACTTCATACAGGTTTGACTGCATTGACTCATCTGGATCTTTTTGGAGCTCGTATTACTGATTCTGGAACAACATATTTGCGAAGTATGTTACATAGCTACAGTAATGCTTCAGTTACTTATTAAGAAGGAAATTATTATTACCGTAGGGATGCTAACTAAAAAAAAAAAAAAAAACTATTGGTATTTTGAGCATAGGGTCTGAAAGAATGGACATGGGTTCATAATATTCTGTATCCAGTTCCTCCAGTGGAGCCCTATTGCATCTGATTAGATTTTTTGTTTGTCTTTTATAATTTTTTGATATAATAATTATATTCAGAAAATACTTGGAAAGTGCATAAATGGAATGTTAGAAGACACTAATTTTATGAATCTTGCAATTAAATCGCCTCCTTGCTAATAATTTGATATTGGACTTGTTAGCCTAACAAGGAAAAGAGTTTTCTCTGTGTATGAACCTCATTCATGAATGGATTTGGATTTGTTTGTCAGTGACAGTCCTGGTTTAAATTTATCTGTTTTCCTTTTAGTTATCAACCATTTTTTTTTTTTTTTTAAATTCTTTTTTTTGTCTAATAGACTTCAAGAACTTGCGCTCCTTGGAAATATGTGGTGGAGGATTGACTGATGCTGGTGTAAAGCATATCAAAGATCTTACATCGTTGTCTTTGCTAAATTTGTCACAGAACAGCAACTTGACAGATAAAACCTTGGAGTTGATTTCTGNTCGCCTCCTTGCTAATAATTTGATATTGGACTTGTTAGCCTAACAAGGAAAAGAGTTTTCTCTGTGTATGAACCTCATTCATGAATGGATTTGGATTTGTTTGTCAGTGACAGTCCTGGTTTAAATTTATCTGTTTTCCTTTTAGTTATCAACCATTTTTTTTTTTTTTTTAAATTCTTTTTTTTGTCTAATAGACTTCAAGAACTTGCGCTCCTTGGAAATATGTGGTGGAGGATTGACTGATGCTGGTGTAAAGCATATCAAAGATCTTACATCGTTGTCTTTGCTAAATTTGTCACAGAACAGCAACTTGACAGATAAAACCTTGGAGTTGATTTCTGGTATTTACTATTAACTTTATGTTACATTCTCTCTCTAATCTCTGCTTATATTGGATAATCAATTTTTCTCAGCATAAAGAACTGTAGAAAACACCATCTTAGGGTTCCTGAACTGGAACCGTAGACCAAACCGTGCATCAATGTGGCTGACTATTGTGGTATCAGTCCACTAAGCTTATTTGTGAGCTAAAACCTTGTTACCATGGTGTTCTTCAGTTGAGAGTTAATTATTAACTGTGCATTAGTTGGTGATTTTATACTCACCATCCAATAAGGGGTGAGTTTTGCTCCTTTCACCCTTCTCAACTCTAGTTGCACTCCAGAAGAGCAAGTCCTAGCATGTCATTTAATCCTTTATATTCCACTTTAGTAGTGATACTGTTGGGAATGAAATTATACCATTTGTACCCAGTTTAACAGAAAATGGAGAGATCTATTGATGTATTTTTTTTATTGGTAATTGGATTTGGATCCATCGGGACTGACGGGGCTTGAACCTGCTGCTTCCGCCTTGACAGGGCTGTGCTCTGACCAATTGAACTACAATCCCGGGAAAATAAAATGTACAGCATACATATTCTTATGATTTCATTCAAACCATTTTAAAACAAGCTTGCCTTACACTTAATAAGTGGACACTAAGTTGAGATTGGGTTTTTCTCGTATATATTGGGGGTGGTCTTCACAAACTTGTCCACCCAGTGTTTCTATTATTGTTTCTTTTGGTAAATACTTGTTTGCACATGCAGGTTTGACAGGGCTGGTGTCTTTAAATGTTTCAAATTCTCGAATAACCAGTGCGGGGTTAAGGCATCTGAAGCCACTGAAGAATTTAAGATCACTGACCTTGGAGTCGTGCAAGGTGGCTGCAAATGACATTAAGAAGCTTCAACTAAGCGATCTCCCGGATCTCATAAGCTTTCGCCCCGAGTTATCCCCCAGTTATTGAGGAGATTCAATGAAAATGTTGTGTAAATATTGCAAATGTTGGCATGGAAGAGCAGCTATTTTAAGAATTGTAAATGTATAGTAATAATTATATATGCTTGTAAATATAAATGACATTCTGTATGCTTGATATGTATAGTAGATATATAGTAGTTTGTCCGCTGTTGGATTCTGGTTTTTCTGGTTTTGGTGACTTTAATATTACTTTTTCAATTATAAACCTTAATTCTGTTTTCAAAGAATGAAGACAGAATTTATGTAATTGAAAGAGTTTGTTTAAGATTATGTAACTACAATGGAGATTGAATTTAAGCTTTGCAATTGTATGTTGTTTTGTTAATTTTTTTCTATTTATTTTTTTTCCTGCACTTCTCTAAATTTATAAGTTAGTTTGATCATTGATGCTTTTAGATTTCTAATTGTTGATGCTCAGTTTAAGCACCAACGAATCCTCACGTGTGTAATGTTGATTGGCTGTTCAATACACGCGAAAATGAAATATATAAAAGCGGAATAAATGTAAAGGGAGTTTTTAAGTGGTTCGGATGCTAAGGTAGCAAGTCCTACGTCCACTGATTTGTATTGATATTAGTGTGTGTCAGGTCGCGGTCGCGAGCTAACTTACATAAGACGAAAAAGTCAAAGAAAAGTTTACAAGAGAGAGAGATTTCTTTTTCTGTATGAAAAATGGTCGAATCCCCCTAATGAAGGGGTCCTCCTCATTTTATACTGGACTGAAGCGTATAATCATCACTAAATCCATGGTTTGGTGTGATTGTCAGGATGTAATCCGGCTTTACGTCCCATTTCCCTTTTCCCAAGCTGACATCGCACGACTTGTTGCAGGAAAAAGGACGCGTGTGGGCTCCATATCACTTGGCAGGTCTGACGTGTGCGTGCTGCTCTGACGGGAGCAGGTCCACCCTCACGTGACTTTCCCACGTCAGCCCTTTATTTTCCTGGCATAACAAAGCCCCTAGTTTTTAAGGTTCGAAGGTCGGACCTTGGAAACTAAGTCACGTCGGTCATTTGGTTGCTTCGACCTGAATGGGATGAGCTCGGCACAGGATTCTGGCGAACACGATCTCACGCTGTTCCCTGTAGGAGCGACCTGACAATCTCCACCTTAGCGACCTGGATATGAGGGCGTCCTCTGTACAGATTCAACGAACCTGGTACAGATTCAACGTAAAGCTTGTCAGGCACATTAAATCCTCGCGTGCTGAGCTGGCACCGTTTGGCAGCGTTAGTGGCGCAGCGTAACCGAAACGACGACCATTATCACGTCATTTAATGCACGTGGGCGCATTTAATGCAGGAGAGAGAGTGGGCTGTCGTTCAGTTTCAAGGGTGATAACCGTCGATTCGCAATCCATATAAAAACTTGCATTTTTCTGATGAGGCCACTGAATTTTCTTTCGCTTCAAGTGATTAACCTTACGCACCGAGAACGATTTTCTTTCGGCCGGCGCATTTCAGGCAACCTAGACGATTTTCGGCCTTAGCTTCGCATCCCAGAGAGTAAGGTTCTTTTCCCTTCCCCTCTTTTTTTTTTTTTTGCACTGGTTTGGTTGGATAATCGTTGGGTCTCTCGGCTTTTCACCGGAGACGCAGCCGCCATTGGATTCGAGCCGTGGATGGCGGCTCGGTCACTCGTAGATTTTAAGATGTCCCATACCATTACTCGGACGAACCACACCCTAATGACCGTGTCTGTCGATGTTCAGACTGGAATGGAACCGTCAACTCCAACCCGAGGAAGGAGCCAGCTCGTCCTCGCGGGAAGTCCCCGAGGACGCAGCCCTTGATGTCTACCTCGTTTCTCACTTCCGAGGAGTTTAATAGAATAAAGACGCAGTACGATATTCGCGGCGAGGTGTTCCTCGACCACAGCAGGTCGTCACGGCGCCCGGCCGATGGCCTTGCCGCGATCTCTGAGGAGATCTTCAAGGGTGGAGGGAGGATTCCCTTCATCCTTTCATCAGGTCGGTCCTGGATCATTTCGGGATCGCACCGATCAATTGACGCCAAACGCGTAGTCATCGCTGTCGCGATGTACATTGCGTGCTGCAGAGCGGCTTGGGAGAACGACGGCGGTGGAGCTCGGTGTCGCCTACTACCTTAAGAAGAGTAGGGACAAGGACTCGTACTATCTGTCTCGGCGACCTACCATTGCCGCGGGATACACAGCTATCCCACAATGCGGAGCCTACGAGACGAAGTTCTTCTTTTTCTTTTACAACGGCTATTGCCGTTTTCAAATCCCAAGTAGGTTCTCTGCTGAGTTTATTATCTGCTCGCCTGATCCACGATAACGACCTGTTTTGTTTTGCAGTTAATAGAACGACCGAGCAGTCGCTACTCGCTGATCCGGACAGGCTTGTATCCTTCGGAGTACTGGACGAGGATAGTCGCGACGCGAGGAAGCTTGTGCCCACCGCGAACTTGCGGAAGTACAGTTTTTTCAGCGACCAGGCGTCCTTAGAACCTCCGGAGTAAGTTACATTTGGTTTCCTTCTGGTCGTAGAATGATTTCGTTTACTAACGACTTTGAATGCAGAAACGATGCCCCAAAGAGTCCGGGCTCCCGCCGTGCACCGTTTGTCTTTCCTCGATCGAGGATCGAAAGGGAGGCTGATGCTCTCTGGCTGTCCCGGCACAGCCGTGCAAACAGTCCCAGCTTCCCAGCCCCGCCCTGCTGCGCAAGGGCAACCAGGACGGAACAGGCCGCTCAGGCACCGCTGCTCGCCCCAACGGAAGCTCCGGCCTAGAGGTCAAAAGAAGAAAACAGATTCAGCCTGACGAGTCGGAGACTGAATCAGGTTGAGCCTCTGAGGTCGCCCCAGGGATCCCGGAGGTTGGGCAAGGAGCCCTTGACGAGGCAGGTGCAAGCGACAAGCGAAGGACGCACCCGTTCTAGACTCGTTGGGAGTCTACCCGAGTACCTGCAGCCCATCGTATATGGCCTGCTCGATTGCGAGCTACGGAGTCTACGATGAATTTGCGGATACGGGCGACGACCTTCTGGCTACTTCGTTTCAACATCTGACAAGGTGAGACTAGCCGTACTTAATTTCAATCCAGTCTATTCTAACTTGTACTCTGCTCGCAGGGATTGCTTGCGATGAGGAGTCCATGGAGAAGACAAGGCTGGGGAATGCAAAGGGAACAAGCGACCTGGAAGAGGAGGTCGCGAAGCTAAAGCAGAGCTTGGAGTCCGTCGAAGCTGAAAGAACACAGGCGTTCGAAGCGGCGAACAGGTATCTGCACCAAAAGGACGCCGCTTTACGAACAGTGGATTTCCAAAAGGCGAGCTCGACCGACGTGCGAGGAGATTAAAGAGCTTCAAAGGACAATTGCCCGGCTCACTAAGGAGTCGCGGAGAAGGACCAGGAGATGCGGGCGACCTTCGACGGGCCCACAGCTGAAGAAGACAAGGGGCCTTTGAACAAGAAAGACTAGTTCTTGAGGCCGAGCTTCAGGAGAGTAGGGAGAGAGTCACCTCTCTGACTGCAGATGCAATCAGTCTGAGGGGATGGAGGAGAAGGCTGCGGACTGGGCGATCGGGTCCATCTACACCCTTTGTGCGAAGAATCCTGCTTTGGACTTCTCCGACCTCCCGGATCTTTGGCGGCGACCTTGCGCTCATGGCTGAGGAGGACCAGGCTGCCGAGGCCACCCAGGGACCCGACCAGGGACCCACCAGGCATGGCTCCGGCTCGAAGGTCTTCCCGACCAGCCTTAGTGCTAGAGAGTCGTTCCCCTTGTACCGAGTCTTTAACTTTTTGTACATGACATTTCTTTGCAGTTGAAGTTTGCCTTTTTATAAATATGCACTATTTCAATTGTGATTTACATGAGCGATTACATATAATTTTTTACATGCGAACAGAACCCATTCGAACTTTTTTAAGCAAACAGAGTAATACTTGAAAAAAGAAATTATCAAAAACTGAGCTGAGTTTGGGATTACTGATAGTATGGCCGAAGGTGCTCGGCGTTCCAAGCCCGAGGTACCTTGGAGCCGTTCAATCTCTGAATGGTAGCTCCCCGGTCTGATCACTTTGTCGATCCGGTACGGACCTTCCCAGTTAGGCCCTAGCACCCCCCGCACTTGGCTCTTTGGTCCCGAGGAGAACTTCCTTTAGTACCAGTCTCCACCTGGAAGTCTCTTCGCCGGACCTTTGAGTCGAAGAACCTTTTTGCTCGCTGCTGGTAGGCTGCTATCCTTAGCGAAGCCTTGCTGCGACGCTCTTCAATTAGATCCAAACTTGCTCTCAGAAGGGCTTCGTTGTCGTCCTCGTTGTACAGGTCCCTCCAAAGAGAACCGGTCCCGACCTCTACGGATCATCGCTTCACAGCCTATGCTAGTGAAAATGGGGTTTCCGAGGTGGAGGTCCTTGGGGTTGTCCTGTACGCCCATAAAACTTCGGGGAGGTCGTCAGCCCAATTTCCCTTGGCTGCCCCGAGCTTGGCCTTCAGAGTGTGCTTGATGGTCTTGTGACTGCTTCAACTTGGCCATTCGCTTGCGGCCTGGCGACTGAGGCAAATTTTTTATGGATGCCCAGCTCGTCGCAGAACTGCTTGAACTCCTCATTTCGAATTGCTTTCCATTATCTGAGATAAGTGTGTAGGAATTCCGTCGGCACACCATGTTCTTGAAGACGAAGTCTTTTAACTTCCTGGTCGTGATCGTGGCTAGTAGCTCGGCTTTGACCCATTTTGTAAAATAGTCTACCCGCACCACGGCGTACTTGACCCCTCCCTTTCTAAGGCATGGGGCCGATAAGGTCGATCCCCCACATGGAAAATGGCCAGGGGCTTGACATAGTAACCAGCTCGTGAGAGGGTGCTCGCGGAATGTTCGCGAACCGCTGGCATTTGTCGCACTTCTTGACAAAGCTGTGCGCATCTTCTTGGATTTGGGGCCAATAATATCCTCTACGAACAATCTTGTTTGCGAGAGACCGAGCTACTGTGTGGTTACCACAGATCCCTTCATGAATTTCCCTCATGATGTAGTCTGCTTCTTCACTGTTTACACATCGGAGGAAGGCGCACTGAATCCTCTCTTGTACAGCTGATCCCCGATGAGTGTGAAACGAGCAGACCTCACTCGCAGGTCCTTGCCTTGGCCTTGTCGCTAGGCAAGGTCCCATCCTTGAGTACTGTACAATGGGAGTCATCCAGGAGTCCGGCTGAACCACGTTCACAGCCTGTTCGGTCGAGCTGATAGTCGAGCATCGACAAAACGACAGGAATGCTATCAGGGGCCTCAGAATCTAATGATGAGGCTATCTTTGCCAAGGCGTCCGCTATAG